GACGATTATCCTCACCTTACAACGTTTTTTCGTGGTGAAATAATCGGCACCAAGCATCCGTTCTTGACTAGAAAATGGGACGCTGATGAAGAAATCGACAAAAAGCACTGGGTATAAGTTTTGATCGATTTGTTCCAATGTGCTGAATTAGAAAATGTGCTAACTTGGCTTCCAGGGTAAATTTTTGGCGTTCTACCAGTTCGCTAAAAACTTCAATTCGGACATGTTCGACTACGAGGCGCTAAAGCAGACAGGTATCCAACAGTGAATTGATGCTTCATTTAGGATGCTTGGTTAATTACTGTTGCTCATGATGGATAGATGGGTATTCCATAGTCGATATATGTCCTATTTGGAATACAGTGCATACACATGTACTTTACGTAATATCTATGTACTGTTGATATAGTATATAACCTGCGTATTGTATTATGGGATTATGTTTACTATATGAAATACCATATATACGATACATATTCTGTACACGATACAGTCCAGGGCGATAATCCATACATACCGAGATGTAAATTTTTACCGATATACAGTGAAACTGATTCGCTTCTCAGTAACTTTTGCCAGTTACCGTCTACTCCTTGCCATAAACCTAAGCTGCGAATTTAATTGGAACCAGCAGGTGACAATGTGTAGTCTTGAGGGTTTGGAGTAAGTTAATAAGCGATGCGATATTACCGTGAATCAAAGTATTACTGACTTGGCTCGTGACTCATGGCTGGGGGAGATGATTAGTAACGTTATAGCACATTGTCAAAAGTTCTAAGCCAGTAAGTGGCCGCCGCGGTAGTTACGCTGCCATCGAATTTTCACAGATGGCTTCGAAAATAAAGTTCTGCACGGTCTAATCTTCATGGCGGCAGTAATCCCACTGTACAGTGGCTGTTAAAGTCACCACAGTAAATAGTTGGGTGAGGCAGCATTGAGAGCGACGGTGTAGGGCAGTTGGTTACGATCGCTTGTATATGTTCATTATAGCGATTTCTCTGACGGTTACTGTAATGAATTCTAAACCATTGTTCGGTTATTTGTTCGCTGATCTTATTTTCGCTACTGTTTATCCCCGCCACATCCTTGAGGACTACCCTGGGATAGGTCGCTGACCACGCTTCGCTTATAAGAACCTTTGTGTTTCTTTGCTCTTTTTCTATGATCCTAATAAGGACCTTTGGGCTTACTTGTTCTTCTTTCGTGGCCCTCATAATGGCCGTTGGGTTTATTTCATACTCTTTTACATATTTGGTTATGGGAAGAACCGTTAGGCTTGTTGCTGGTAAATCCGAGAGATTGCTTGCGCAATGTTCGGCTACAGGGTGACGACATTCGTTTTGTTTCTGAACTTCAGTGCACTTTCACAACACGGATTACCACATGAAGATTGTCGTCATCCGCCCTCGTGACAAGTACCTTTCAGACAACAGCGCTGTTGATTACCTAGGAATTAATTTCAACCTATACCAGTTTGGACTAATTATCGCTCTGGACTGTAACATTTATGTATTATGTAATATTAACACTTATAAAATACATAGACTGTCTAAGGCATGTTATTCACAGCCAATATAGTATACAACATGCATGTTGTCGTCTGGGATGATAATCCTTCTATATCCGTATATACAGCAATTGTTTCGAACTTCATTTCGGTACACCCTAAGTTTTGCTTGATTATCACTACGCCTACCCCTATGCCTAGCCTTTGCATTGTCAGCTGCATGTTATAACACCGTCGCTTCCGTATTGGCTTAGACAGGCTGTATTATGGTCAAAACTACGTTTCTGGTCCGAACTAAACAGACATCACTTTCACTTATACGGGTATGAACAGATTGCTACTCGGTACGGGGTCATATTTGCGGTTTTATTGCTACTGTGTGCGGAAAGATTGTTAGGTTGTGAAGGTGAAGGTTTTAGTTTCTTAAAGAACAAGGTTTATTTTGTCTCTTTGCCTGTATTGCACCCTCTTGTAAAAAGTAGTTTCGGTCCTGGCAGCGGAAATTATGTTAAACGTTATTATAGTCTGATGCAGATTGTCGTCTGCATCGCTCGTTTAATACGATTGACTTTTTGGAGGATTAGCTGTAGCTGTTTCTCTGATGCATAGTTTCAGCAGCGTTTTTCCACGATTTTAAGTGTCCGAGATTCTTTGCCAAACGTTTTGAAGGGCATCTGTTTACGGAGGAATTTGAACAGAAAAAGAGGAGAGTTACGTGCCTGACGCTTTTCCACGGACACTAATTGCAGATTTCGTCTTTATGCGCTGGAAAGAACAGTTTCTGGTTCCGGACCATCATGTCAGGGACATCAACGGTGCGTCATTCGCAGGTTTCTACTACATTTCTCTGCAAAAGTCGTGTGCCACGATCGAAGGCTACTACTACCACAAAAATTCAGAGTGGTAACAGACGTGACATTCGCCGTTTGCTTTCATCGTTGCTCCTAGGTTCCAGTCGCTCGCCCTGACGCACGTCCCCGAGAGGACGTTTCAAATGTTCGAGTTCAGATGAAGCAAAGAAGACAAGCCACTGCCCGTCCATCAACCTACGAAACGCAGCATTAAAAACACGCTGTAATAAATTATACGATTCGCAATTTGTAGCATACAGTATATTGATAGTTGCTAGGCTGTTGTTCATTAAAGAAATAGTTGCTATTGTCCTCATCATCGGTTCCCTCTAAGTTTTTGCTCTCCAGTTATTTCTTGCAATATGAACAATTTCTTTGAACATTCTTATCATGTATGAACTTAATATCAAATTGGGCAATGCGAATTCTTGTTAGATATGGTAGATAGAGTAGGTCGATGTTCTGTGCGCACGAAGCATCAAACGACATTTCACTCATTAAATAGTTGATACTTTCTTGAAAGCCGATATTGGTACCAAGTCCCATCTTTTATAACGCATTAATTTTTCTTGTTAAATCCTTAATAGACTAAAATATATTTCGAAATCCGAATAAAAAATCCGTCACCAGTAATAATGACAGCAGTTTCTTCAGATTATTCAGTTTTGTTCCGATGAACGTGTTTATAATATTGAAATTAATCATCATCATATTCCATCGCCGCTTCTCCTTTCGAGTCGCGGAGGCCGACGCGTCAGACAGTGCTTCCAACGTTCCCGATCCTGTGCCAGAGTCTGAGCTTCGGC